GGTGGCCGACGTAAACGACAACGCGCCGGCGTTCCGGCAGCCCGAATACACGGTGTTGGTGAAGGAGAACAACCTGCCGGGCTGCCTCATGTTCACAGTGTCAGCGCGTGACGCGGACGCGCAGGAGAACGCGCTGGTGTCCTACTCTCTGGTGGAGCGGTGGGTGGGCGAGCGCGCGCTGTCGAGCTACATGTTGGTGCACGCCGAGAGCGGCAAAGTGTACGCGCTGCAGCCGCTGGACCACGAAGAGCTGGAGCTGTTGCAATTCCAAGTGGGCGCGCGCGACTCGGGCTTCCCTCCTCTGGGCAGCAACGTGACTCTGCAGGTGTTTGTGCTGGACGAGAATGACAATGAGCCAGCGCTGCTGCCGCCTGGGTTGGGCGGCGCGATCCGCGCGGTAAGCGAGCTGGTGCCGCGGTCGGTGGGTGCGGGCCATGTGGTGGCGAAGGTGCGCGCAGTGGATGCTGACTCGGGGTACAACACGTGGCTGTTGTATGAACTGCAGCCAGCGGCGGGTAGCACGCGCATTCCGTTCCGCGTGGGTCTGTACACGGGCGAGGTGAGCACAACGCGAGCCCTGGACGAGGCAGACGCGCCACGCCAGCGCCTACTGGTGCTGGTGAGGGACCACGGGGAGCCCGCACTGACGGCCACAGCCACCCTGCTGGTGTCGCTGGTGGAGAGCGGCCAGGTGATGAAGACGTCATCGCAGGTGTCGGCTGGCGCCGCAGGCCTGGAGGGAGCGCTGGTGTATGTCAGCGTGTACCTGATCATCGCCATCTGCGCAGTGACCAGCCTGTTGGTGCTCACACTGCTGCTGTACACGGCGCTGCGGTGCTCGGCGCCGCCCACAGAGGGCGCGTGCGGATCGGGAAAGCCCACGCTGGTGTGCTCCAGCACGGTGGGGAGCTGGTCCTACTCACAGCAGAGGCGGCAGAGGGTGTGCTCTGGAGAAGGGCCGCCCAAGACCGACCTCATGGCCTTCAGCCCCAGCCTTCCGCTTTGTCCAGAAAGGGGAGGTAGAAATGAGCAGCTGGATGTGGATATTGATCTTTCTTCCAAAGTAACTTTTCCATATTCTTCCAAAAACGTCACTTTTTAAATATCCAATATCTTCACCCCATTTGAAAGCTTTTAACAGTTATTATGTTACTCTTGGAAACCCTGGTGGTGTAGTGGTTAAGGGCTACGGCTGCTAACCAAAAGTCAGCAGTTCGAATCCACCAGGCGCTCCTTCGAAACCCTATGGGCCAGTTTTACTCTGTCCTATAGGGTCGCTATGAGTCGGAATCGACTCGACAGCAACGGATTTGTTTTTTTTTTTGTGTGTGTTTTATGTTACTCTTACGTTTACAGTAATTAGAGTTTTTCAGTTACGGCTTTTGCGATGAAATTATCTTTAGATTTCTTGTGACTAATACTTTTGAACCAAATGAGCAATAAGTAGTGAGATCCACACTTGTAGGTTTTTTTTTTTTTTTTTTTTTTTTAAAGTAAATGGTGTAGCAGAATCATGTAATAGTTAAAAGTTTGGGTACAAACCTGAATTTCTTTCTTGGATGAATTTTATCGTTTAGAGAATTCGTCTCCAAATTTCGGTATCCTAATACCTACACAACAGAACCCTGGTGGTGCAGTGGTTAAGAGCTTGACTACAAAAAGGTTGGCAGTTTGAATCCACCAGCCAATCCTTGGAAACTATGAGGCAGTTCTACTCTGTCCTACAGGGTCACTTTGAGCCGGAATCAACTCTACGGCATTGGATACAGGTAATACCTACACAATGGTGCAATAGCTTTTGCCACTTTTTATTTGGACTTCCTACAATATGTTAAACTCATAGCCATGGGGTCAATTCTGACTCATAGCGACCGTATGAGTCAGTGACCCATTTTATGAGTTAATCCTAAATACTCAACACTCACTTTTATTAAGCTTTTACACCTTCACTTATAAATATTAATTTGTTAAACCTATTGTCTTTTATGAAGTCTTTTTTACTTTCTTATTCACTTGTTTGGAGTATGAGTCTCCCCTTTCTACTTGAATATGATTTGTTTTAAACCTGTGTTCTCATCTCGCAATACTTTTAATTGTATTTTTTAAAAACCAGAATAATAATTTTATTGCTTTTAGAATTGTATCTTTGTCCATCATCAGTTTCTCACTACTTTTATTGGTAAGCCTTGAAAAAATCAATAGTAAATAAAAATGTAATACTCCTTTTAGTAAATCATCATTTAGAAAAAATTCTTGCAGTTAAGAATATTTTAATCATGTTAAGGATTATGTTCATCCAGAATAATTTGTTGAGAATAATACTATATATACTAGTTTAAAACTACCTACTACTATTGCCTACAATATTAAGGATGTTTGTGTTAAATAAGGAGCCCTGGTTTTGAAGTGGTTAAGAACTTGACTGCTAACCAAAAGGTCAGCAGTTCTAATCCACCAGCTGCTCCTTTGAAACCCTTTGGGGGCAGTTCTACTCTGTCCTATAGGGTCGCTATGAGTTGGAATTGACTCAACAGCAATGGGCTTTTTTTGTTTGTTTGTTTGTTTGTTTTATGTCAGATAAGTTCAACAAATCAATGTTACCACTGGTGACATTCCTCTGAATACCACCCTGTCTAGTAATGTTAGTCATGCACTAAGTACACCAGGATATGGGGACTTTGATTTTCAAATCCAGCTCTCTTCTTGAAATTCTTGACTAGCAAGACTTTTTGCTAATAAGACATTTTGAAGACTTTGAGTTTCTTCTGTTTAGAAACATACTGCTGCTGTAGCAAGTGAATATTGATTGTTGTTGAGTGCTGTCGAGCCAATTCTGATTCATAGTGACCCTACAGAACAGAGGAGAACCACCCATAGGGTTTTCTTGGCTGTGATCTTTATGGAATTAGATTGCCAGGCTTTTTTCCCATGGAGCCATTGGGTAGGTACAATCTGCCAACCATTCAGTTAGCAGCAGAGCGCTTAACCATTGGGCCACCAGAGCTCCTTGAATACTGATTAGCTACCAAACAAATATACTTTTCTATTCTGTTGCATCTCTCATTTATGCATTTGATTATTTTGCAAAATAAAGTGAATGGATAGGGAGTCCTTTTCACTTTCTTCCAGTGTGTTGGACACCTATCATCATTTTGTACAAATCTACAGTTTCAGTTCCAAAACAGTTAAAATACTGATTTATGTTTTGATTCAGATTTTTTTTTTTTTTGTGAGTGTGGCTCTTCATAGAGAGAGCCTAAAGGTATTTTCACTATATTGATTTTTTTTTTTTTTAGAGAAATAGAGAAGAAAGAGACTTATGACCATTAGAGGCAAAGCAAGCTAGAAGATGGCCACTATTATATTCTTCTATATTAAGTTTGTTTATCAGGAAAGTGCATTGTCTTCTATTTATTGGGAAGTCTTCATTGCCCATTAAAACACAGTGTCTCAAAGATCATGACTTCCTTGAACTGGAATGAAAATGAAGCTAAAACCCAAGTTTTCAATATGGAAATTGAAATATATATTAATTAAGGGAATGTCTAAAGAGAATATTTTTGTATCTGTACAAAATTACAGAGGCCTCTGAGACATCATATTTTCCTGACATTTTAAGTATCTCTAGAGCATTCCTTCTTATAGAGATCTAACTTTATCTCCTTTTGGAAAAATTTCTCAAGTGACTCATTAATCCTGAGTGGGGTCAGGACTAGCTATGTTACCACCACAAATTAATTAATTTTATTAGGCAGGTGAAGAGAACCAGAAAAATTTCTATTGGGTAAATATTCAGCAAACATTAGATAAGTACCTCTGAGCTATTAAAATATTAAGAGCCAACACTTCCCTATAAAAATTTATATTACAGAAAAGGAGAATAGGTCATATATACCCAAATATCTACAAAAGAGAAATGAATATAATAAATGGCCCGAGTGATTCAATCTGGGTTCTACTGTATATAAAAGACGGTAAAGATGCCTGCCCAGTTGTTTTGATCATGAAAATCTTCATGGTCAGGGGAGTTTTAAGTGATTATAAAATGGGGAAAATTGCTTTGTGAAGAGTTTGGAAATGATGGGTATTTAGGCAAGAGATGAAATGTGTATGTTTGCTTACTAAAAAATGTTCTTTGAAACAGGAGATTATTCAGTTTGAATAAAATATATAAGCACTGTAGGAGAAAATAGAAGTTTAGGCATACTAAAGTCTGGAGAACAGTTAGCTATTTATAAATCAGAAGGAATTTAACAGACAAAATGAAAATACCAACCTTGCTCATGGGAGGTGAATGGATTCCAGTGAACAAACTTATTTGGAATACTTTTCCACACAATCTATTTATTACAACTTTCTACTTCCTTATTAAAGCTTCCTTGCTCTTAGATGACTTTTAAAAAAGTTCAATTAAGTGCTGATGATCTTTGATTCCTTTTACAAACGTTTGCAAATTTCTCTTTCAATGGCTTATTTTTGGGATCAGAGGTTCCCTAAAGATCAGTTCTCTCAAGTTTTCAACAACAGGAATACAAAATCCAAGGACAAAGAGAGTGTCATCATTAATGACAACACAAAGAATCTGTCATGAATTTACCTGATCAGCACTACAGTTGGATCTTTGTAAATACTTAAAACCCATGTTCTTCCACTGTTGTAAAAGTTGCCCTTGTACACTCAATCGGTGGTACAAAATGTGCACCTTGTCTGTACAAAATGTGGTGCTATTCTCCAACGACGTTAACAGTATGCAGAGAAGCTGAAAGTAAAATAAAACTTACAGTAGAACGTGGATTTCAAGAATCGTTACTGTTTGGAGCCATGTGATGTCACTCTCCACCATAAAATAGATCTGACAGAAGAAAGAAAAATCCCTTCTCACTGGAAAGGAGCTGCAGCCACCATCTGAATGCTGGAAAATGGAGGATGTATCAGCGCTGGACTAACCAGTCAGAAGTTTTCTTCTGACTTTGAGAAAAGATTCCTTAATCAGAATAAAATACTGAGTGCTTACGATGCAGTTTTCCTGGGGAAGCGGCCTCGGATTCCGGCGTCTGCTGTTACTGCTTCTGCTCCTCGCAGCGTGGGGGGCGGGGAGAATCCAGGTCCACTACTCAGTCCCCGAGGAGGCCAAACACGGCACCTTCGTGGGCCGCATCGCGCAAGACCTGGGGCTGGAGCTGGCGAAACTGGTGCCGCACCTGTTCCGGGTGGCGTTCAAAGGCCATGGGGACCTTCTGGAAAAATCTGCAGAACTGCATTTTGTTTGTGAATTCTCGGATAGACCTCGAGGAGCTGTGCGGGCGGAGCGCGGTGTGCAGCATTCACCTGGAGGTGATCGTGGACAGGCCGCTGCAGGTTTTCCATGTGGAGATGGAAGTGAAGGACGTAAACGACAACCCGCCGGTGTTCCCGACGACACAAAAGAATCTTTTTATCACGAAATACAGGCCGCTTGACTCTCATTTTTCGCTAGAGGGCGCGTCCGATGCAGATATTGGGGCCAACGCTCTGCTGACTTACACACTGAGCCCCAGTGAATATTTTTCTCTAGAAAAACCATCCAGTAACTTGCAGGTAAAACGTCTCGGGCTTGTATGAAGAAAACTTTTAGACAGGGAAGAAGTTCCCGAGCTCTTTTTAGTGCTTACGGCCACTGATGGGGGCAAAGCCAAGCTGATTGGAACCGTTCAGTTAGTCATCACAGTGCTTGATGCCAATGACAACACCGCAGCTTTTGACAGAACACTCTATACAGTGAAATTACCAGAAAATATTTCTAATGGAACGTCAGTAATTAAACTAAACGCTTCCGGTTTAGACCAAGGCTTGAATGAGAATATTATTTATTCATTCTCAACTGATACTTCACCAAATGTGAAATCCAAGTTCCACATAGATCCGATTACTGGAGAAATTATAGTAAAGGGATATATAGATTTTGAAGAAAGCAAGTCCTATGAAATTCTTGCAGAGGGTGTTGGTAAGGGACAGCTCCCACTCTCTGGCCATTGTACAGTTATGGTGGAAGTTGAAGACAAATGATAATCTTCCAGATTTAGAATTCAAATCTCTGTCACTTCCAACCAGAGTGGACGCTCCACTGGGCACTGTCATCGTCCCGATCAGCGTGTCCAACTGTGACTGTGGTGCCAACGGGCAAGTGACCTGCTCCCTGATTCCTCATGTCCCCTTCAAGCTGGGATCTAACTTCAAGAATTAATATTCGCTGGTGCTGGACAGCGCCCTGGACAGCGAAAGCATGTCGGACTATGCGCTGTTGGTGACAGCATGGGATGGGAGTTCACATTCTCTGTCAGCCATAGCCAAAGTGTCGGTGGAGGTGGGCGATGTGAACGACAATGCCTCCACTTTTACACAGCCCCATTACACTGTGTTCGTGAAGGAGAACAACCCGCCGGGCTTCCACATCTTCACAGTGTCTGCACACGACGCGGACGCACAGGAGAACGCGCTGGTGTCCTAATCGCTGGTGGAGCGGCGGGTGGGCGAGCGCGCGCTGTCGAGCTACGTGTTGGTGCACGCCGAGAGCTGCAAGGAGTCTGCGCTGCAGCCGCTGGACCACAGAGAGCTGGAGCTGCTGCAGTACCACGTGAGCGCGCGCAACGCGGGCTTTCCGCATCTGGGCTGCAACGTGACTCCGCAGGTGTTCGTGCTGGACGAGAACGACAACGCGCCAGCGCTGTTGCCGCCTGGGTCAGGCGGCGAGATCGGCGCAGTGAGCCAGCCGGTGTCTCGGTCTGTGTGCCCTGGCCACGTGGTGGCGAAGGTGCGTGCGGTGGACGCAGACTCCGGCTACAACACGTGGCTGTCTTACGAGCTGGAATCGGCAGCGGACGGTGTGCGCAACCTGTTCCGCGTGGGTGCGTACACGGGCAAGGTGAGCACGACGCGCGCCCTGGACGAGGCAGATGCTCCACGCCAAAGCTTGCTACTGCTGGTGAGGCACCACGGGGAGCCGCCGCTGGTGGCCACGGCCACAGTGCAGGTGTCGCTGGTGGAGAGCGGCCAGGCGCTGAAGACGTCATCGCGGGCGTCGTCTGGCTCCTTTGGCCCCGAGGCGGCGCTGGTGGATGTCAGCGTGTACCTGATCATCGCCATCTGCGCAGTGACCAGCCTGTTGGTGCTCACACTGCTGCTGTACACGGCGCTGCGATGCTCGACGCCGCCCACAGAGGGCGCGTGCGGATCGGGAAAGCCCACGCTGGTGTGCTCCAGCACGGTGGGGAGCTGGTCGTACTCGCAGCAGAGGCGGCAGAGGGTGTGCTCTGGAGAAGGGCCGCCCAAGACCGACCTCATGGCCTTCAGCCCCAGCCTCCCACCCTGTCCTATTGCAGCGAATTTGGGCGAACTTCAGGGTTTAAATGAGGATCATTGTGCCAGAGTAAGTGTGAATTTTCATAATTAACAATTAACACTTATTCATTTGGAATTTTCACAATTCTTTCTCCTAGGTCTATTTTTTACCCATCTACATATTTCAGGATATTTGCAAAGTATTTGTGTCTCTTAGTTTTATTTGTGTTCATTATTGAAATCTCATTGGCATGTTATAATTTAATTTTAAGTGGAATAAGACTTTATTAACTACATTCTACATTTTAAGTTTTCTGTCTTCAATCTCAAACTTTCCTTGAATAAGTACACTTATGGTGTATGCTTTATTGACATAGGTGGAAGTATTTTTTTCTGAGTAATAATCTCAAATTTTCATTTCTTTGCGTCTGAACTTCCTTAGAGTTATTTTGCATTTATTCATTTTTGAATATATTGACATTTTAACCACCTTATCATTTTCCTTTTCAAGTATTATCTGTGGATGATTTTTATTTAGCCAACATGTTCAATTTGTCAATGTTGTATAAAAATTCCTCCCTTCATAACTTATTTTCTAAACTCCTCTTTTGGTCTGATGATCCCAGGAGACACTAGGGTTCATTTATTGTTGCTTTTTAAATCCATTTAGGGATAAAGGACAGAACAATAATTATCAGACTGAATGTTTCTGATTGGGATGAAGGAGCGAATGGGGAGATTTTATGCTCTTTCAAAATCCTTGTTTCACCAATGAGTGTTGCCTGGTTTATGATAGATAGATCCAAATACTGGAGAAATTCAAGGGGATTTTGGCTTTGAAAAAGTATATTCCTATAAAATCTGCTTTCCTCTGAGACTGTAACTCTTACATTTATGTTTGAATTTCATTAGGGGTTCTTTTCATACAGAGTCAGTTTAAACTTATTTGTTCTATATTAATGCTTTTCTCTATGCTGTATAATGATTTTAAATATTCACTATTTCTTTACAGGAAGACAGCATAGAGTAGTAATTAAGTGTTGTGAGTTCTGAAGTCATTCTCCCTTGATTAAATTCCACCCCTACCAATTTTATTTTGCATAGCATTGGATAGATTACTTAAACTGTCAGTTCTCAGTTTCCCACCTGTAAAGTTGGGATGATAAACAGCAGTACTATAATAGGTAATTGTTTTGAGTATTTAGTAAGTTGATACTTGTAAGGGGTTTATGATAGGGTTTTCCTAATAGTAAGTGTTTAATAAAATTTAGCTATTATCCTGAAGAGGAAAAAGAAAATCTAAAATATCAGAAAGGAATTGTTATGGCTTCAAAGTTGCTTTATTTTATGTCAAGATTTGTTATTCATAAAAACCAAAAAACAAAACCCATTGCCATGGAGTTGATTCTGACTCATAGCGACCATATAGGACAGAGTTGAATTGCCCCATAGGGTTTCCAAGGAGTGGTGGGTGGATTCAAACAGCCAACTTTTTGTTTAGTAGCCAAGCTCTTAACTACTGTGCCTCCAGGGCTCCTTGTTATTCACAGAGAGGCCATAATTATCAGTTTAATCCTAGATATCTCAAAGATTTTGAATGCTATGTGCTAGACTAAAAAACTAATTGAAAACCAGTTTTTCAGAATTGAAATTCAAATGATGATTTTGGCAGTTGGAAAGCTTTTTGGATTCAAAAAAGACATTTAAGCTGCAGCACCCTCAACGTTTTTCTGAAGGTAGTTTTAACTTATCACTTTGGTCATCGCTTCCCAGGAAAAATTAGACTATCTGAAGCTGGAATGCTGTGTATTCCCATACTTAAAAGTTGCCCAAGGTCCATCACAGGCCTAAGTTGGGGTTTGGACTTCCATGTGCTCATTTTCCATTCTTGAAATAGCAGAAGTCATTGATAGTGTTTTGTGTTTTTTTTCCCCAAAAGAATTAAGTACACGATAATTTTAAACACATACTTAAAAGTGACAACGTACACTGTAGTTCTACTAAGCAATAAACAATACCATTTCTATAGATACTGATATCTAACAATCTTTAAAAAGCATGCTTTTTTTAAGGAAGTAGAACGATAGCCATCACGCTTGAGTAAACTTTAAAAATAGGTTCTAGGTGGATCTCTAAGAGCTGGTTGCTGTGCCAGGAATTATTGAATTAACAAGTCTCTGACTTCAAGAAGTTTATATAGAAATAATGAATATGTGTCATACATAAGTACGACCCTAATGAAAGGCAGAATATTATAAGACATGCAAGAAACTTAAATCACAGTATGATTGGAATTGAAGGGAAATCCCTCCCTATTTCCTTTGATGAAGGAGCCCTTCAAGGGTCATGATATTTTTAATGGGTTTTAACTGGAGAAGTTTCCTCTGGGAGAATATTGATAACAATATTGAAACAATGCTTGGAAAGCATCAGGCTAAGTAAGTATAAGTACGCAGAAAACCCCAAATGTGCCTGGTTAAAACATAGGAGAGAGTATGAGATAAGGCAGGAAAAGTAATATGAGAAAATCTTTTGGGTAACCTTGAGTACTAGACTAAAAGATTTTGACTGTCTTTAAGACTCACTGGAAAACTATTAAAATATGTAAAGCTGGTGCTGAGCTTATGCCAGTGAATAATAGTTGTTTTTCAGGGATATGACTGTAAGGGTTAAATGAAGGATGAATGACATTGGAATGAACTAGAAGACACAATAAAAAGCTATTGCAATCATCAAGGAGAGCAACAATTATTGCGAACTCCATTTCAACAGATACAAAACTTGGGAAACATTAGAATTCTGTTGCAGTTATTTTACTTGCAGTTGGGAAGATGGGTATAGAACTCACAAGAAAACTTGCTCCGCTAAGTAGACCTAAGAAGGATAAAGCATCCCATGTTCGATTAAAGACCACTCTAAGTATGACAGATGAGTACCAAAATATATTGAATGAAGTAACTTACATTACAACTAAAATAATCTAAATCATATTGAGATTGTAAAAACAGGAAGATATTCATAAAACATGAGGCTTAGAAAGCGTGGAAAGAGTAAACACGTATAGATATATGAACCTTACTGACTCCTGGAACATATATATATATATATTATATATATATATATAATATATATGCTCCTCAAAAAGTTACTTAATTCAAATTCTTCTTCAAAGATTCCAAACATCTTAATTGTTCTGTTTACTTAAGAAAAATATCGGAATTAGTTGCTTATATTCCTTCCCTCCTTAAAAATAAAATTTCTAAGTTTCTCTTCCATTAGTAGATAGTTGAGATTCAGCGTCCCTATAGATAAGAAACCAAGGAGTTTTCTTAACTCAGAATACGAAATATAGGAATGTTGAGAGTTTTCTGAACTCCAGAACAAGGAATTTAAAACTTAGGGTTATTCAAATAATTTGCTTCATTGTCACTTTGGTTTCTATATTTAAAAAATCGTGAAGATAGAAGGTTTTTTTCAAGGCATGAGGAAGCCACAATTATGGTCACATTAAATTTTCAAAAGGAGTCAGTCCCCTATGAATGTCTTCAGCAAACCTAAGAAATATTGTCCTACAGTTTACTAACAATAAAGAAAAAAATCAGAGATTGAAATAAAACATTGCATTTTAATGGTATAATTTTGTATTTCGAACTTACCATATGGGCCACATGATGTCGCCCTTCACCGTGAAATTCCCCATATTCAAGACTAAGTCATCCGTTTTCCCGTTGGAAGGATGATCCACTCTTTCACTTTCCGGATGCTGAACAATGGCGAGCACATCAGAATTGGAATGAAGGGATAAGAAGATTCCCCTAAATTTTAGAGAAGTCTCGATGATTAGCATAAAGCTGCAAGAATTTGAAATGGTGTATCCTGGTCCAGGCGACCTTGGAGCCCGGCTTCTACTGCTGTTTTATATAATTCTCACAGCCGGGGGGACCGGGAGCGGCCAGGTCCACTACTCGGTCGCCGAGGAGGCCAAACACGGCACCTTCGTGGGCCGCATAGCGCAGGACCTGGGGCTGGAGCTGGCGGAGCTGGTGCCGCGCCTGTTCCGGGTGGCATCCAAAGGCCATGGGGACCATCTGGAGGTAAATCTGCAGAACGGCATTTTGTTTGTGAATTCTCGGATCGACCGCGAGGAGCTGTGCGGGCGGAGCGCGGTGTGCAGCATCCACCTGGAGGTGATCGTGGACAAGCCGCTGCAGGTTTTCCATGAAGAGGTGGAGGTGAAGGACATTAACGACAACCCGCCTGTGTTTCCGGCGACACAAAAGAATCTGTTCATCCCGGAATCCAGGCTGCTTGACTCTCGGTTTCCGCTAGAGGGCGCGTCCGATGCGGATATTGGGGCCAATGCTCTGCTGACTTACAGACTGAGCCGCAATGAATATTTCTCGTTGGACGTACCAATAAATGAGGAACAGGTAAAACCACTTGGACTTGTATTACAGAAATCTTTAGACAGGGAAGAAGCTCCAGAGCTTTATTTAGTGCTCACGGCCACTGATGGGGGCAAACCTGAGCTGACTAGTACCGTTCAGTTACTCATCACAGTGCTTGACGCCAATGACAACGTCCCGACTTTTGACAAAACAGTCTATACAGTGAAATTACCAGAAAATGTTTCCAGAGGAACGTTGGTAATTAAACTGAACGCCTCAGATTTAGACGAAGGCTTGAATGGGAATGTTATTTACTCGTTCTCAAGTGATGTTTCTCCGGATATAAAATCCAAGTTCCATATAGACCCTATAACCGGGGAAATTACAGTAATAGGACATATCGATTTTGAAGAAAGTAAAGCCTACAAAGTTCGTGTACAGGTTACTGATAAAGGCTCCCCGCCATTGTCTGGTCACTCTACAGTTCTGGTGGATGTTGTGGACTCTAATGACAATGCTCCAGAGTTGACTATCACGTCTCTGTCCCTTCCTATCTCAGAAGACGCTCAGCCTGGTACAGTAATTACCTTGATTAGTGTGTCTGACCGCGATTCTGGAGCCAATGGGCAGGTGACCAGCACCTTGACACCGAATGTCCCCTTCAAGTTGGTGTCCACCTTCAAGAATTACTACTCGCTAGTCCTGGAAAGCGCCCTAGACCGCGAGAGCCTGTCAGCCTATGATCTGGTGGTGACAGCACGGGACGGGGGCTCGCCTTCCCTGTCGGCCACAGCCAGCTTGTCCGTGGAGGTGGCCGACGTGAACGACAACGCGCCTGCATTCGAGCGTCCCGAATACACGGTGTTCGTGAAGGAAAACAACCCGCCGGGCTGCCACATCTTCACGGTGTCGGCACACGACGCGGACGCGCAGGAGAACGCGCTGGTGTCCTACTCGCTGGTGGAGCGGCGGGTGGGCGAGCGCGCACTGTCGAGCTACGTGTCAGTACACGCTGAGAGCGGCAAAGTGTACGCGCTGCAGCCGCTGGACCACGAGGAGCTGGAGCTGCTGCAGTTCCAGGTGAGCGCGCGCGACGCGGGCTTCCCTCC